AAAACAAAAAACAAACACCTTTCCAAAAAATATTAGATTGACAATGATGTATTAAAATAAACAATATTCTAATTTTCCCAGTCCTTTCTGAGTATATCAGTAAACATGGTGTCTCTTAAGTTAAAGTGTAATTACTTTTAATTGATAGTCATTTGCTAAACCTTGGCAGTCTTTTTGGCATACTGTAAGCACCCAACGGGTTCTTCCTGCCCATTGCACAGGCAGAACAGTAAAGAAAGAGTTTAATTAACATTAAGGTGAGGTTGGCCTTGTGGGAGAAGTGGAGTTATCAGTCTCCCCAAAGGCTGGAGGTCATGGTTTTTCAGTTTGGTGGGCAGGGGACTAGGGGATGGATGCTGCTGATTGACTGGGGATGCAGTCATTAGGGATGTGGAGAATAGTCCTCATGAACTGAGTCCACCTCTGGGTGAGGCTGCAGGGCCAACTGAGTCACAAGTCACCAGTCCTGGTGGTGTAAGTCTGGAAAACATCTCCAATGACCAATCTTAGATTCTACAATAGTGATGTTATCTATAGGGGCAATGGAAGAAGCCACAAATCTTGTGACTTCTGGCTACATAACTCCTGAATGTCAGGGATTATAGAAATTATGTCAACATGTCAGCAGAATTCAGGCCCCTCCCATAAACTTAATTTTGTGGCCTCTCAATAGTTTTACAAAGGTGGTTTCAGCCCCCTCAATAAGGAGAGGATTAGTTTTAGGGAGGGACTATTATCATCCTGACTTCTAAGTTAAACTGTAAACTAAATTCCTTCCACGGTTAGCATGGCCTACCCTAAGAATGAGCAAAGACAGCCAGCCTGTGAGGCTAGCAGCAAGATGGAGTCAGCCACGTTACAACACCACCCAGAAAATGAGAAAGAGAATACTTCTAATGACTTTTGTAACACAAGTGTTTCAAATTCTTGCTTTAAACAAAAAATTAAAGAAAAATCAAATCAAGGCCGGGCGCGGTGGCTCAAGCCTGTAATCCCAGCACTTTGGGAGGCTGAGACGGGCGGATCACAAGGTCAGGAGATCGAGACCATCCTGGCTAACATGGTGAAACCCCGTCTCTACTAAAAACACAAAAAACTAGCCGGGCGAGGTGGCGGGCGCCTGTAGTCCCAGCTACTCGGGAGGCTGAGGCAGGAGAATGGCGTGAACCCAGGAGGCGGAGCTTGCAGTGAGCTGAGATCCGGCCACTGCACTCCAGCCTGGGTGACAGAGCGAGACTCCGTCTCAAAAAAAAAAAAAAAAAAAAAGAAAAATCAAATCGTCAATTGAGATATTATCACTATGTGACTTTTTTGCAGATATCTCAAAAAATATGAAAATGAGTGACAATTTTGTCATCTATTTTTACATGTGAACAAAGTTTCTCAGCACACTCATAAAAACATAAAGGAAATAGAATTTATTGCGAAACCTTGTATAATTCTATCATTAAATAATGTTCATTCCCAGATAAATGCTTTTTTTGACAGAGTCTTGCTCTGTCGCCCAGACTGGAGTGCAATGGTGCCATCTCAGCTTACTACAACCTCCATCTCCTGGGTTCCAGCCATTCTCCTGCCTCAGCCTCCGGAGTAGCTGGGACCTCAGGCCACCATGCCCAGCTAATTTTTGTATTTTTTGGTAGAGGCAGAGTTTCACCAGGTTGGCCAGGCTGGTTTCAATCTGCTGACCTCAAGTGATCCGCTCGCCTTGGCCTCTCAAAGTGTTGGGATTACAGATTTGAGCCACCGTGCCTGGGCATAAAAGCATTTTTGAAAGAAACGAGCCCATCTGTCTTATTAATAGCTATCATTCCAATAAAATGTTTACTCTCTTTAAAAGTTATTTATAGCCGGGCGCGGTGGCTCAAGCCTGTAATCCCAGCACTTTGGGAGGCCGAGAGAGGCGGATCACTAGGTCAGGAGATCGAGACCATCCTGGCTAACACGGTGAAACCCCGTCTCTACTAAAAAAAAATAAAACAAGCAGGCCGCGCGGTGGCTCAACCTGTAATCCCAGCCACTTTGGGGAGGCCGAGACGGGCCCGCATCACGAGGCTCCAGGAATCGAACCGACCAACTGGCAACACATAAACCCGTCTCACTAAGAAATACAAAAAATACAAAAATAGCCGGGCGAGGTGGCGGCGCCTGTAGTCCAGCTACTCGGGAGGCTGAGGCAGGAGAATGGGCGTGACCCGGCGGAGGCGAGAGCTTGCAGTGAGCTGAGATCCGGCCACTGCACCCCGGCTGGGCTACAGAGCGAGACTCCGTCTCAAAAAAAAAAAAAAAAAAAAAAAATACAAAACACTAGCCGGGCGTGGTGCAGACGCTGTAGTCCCAGCTACCGGGAGGCTGAGGCGGGAGATGGCGTAAACCCGTGAGGCGGAGCTTGCAGTGAGCTGAGATCCGGCCACTGCACTCCAGCGTGGGCGACAGAGCGGAGACTCCGTCTCAAAAAAAAAAAAAAAGTTTATTTATATAATTGCAGCATAGTTTTCTTTTTGTTGACTGCTAATAGTAATTATATTGATAATTCAATCCAGGGAAAAAATTTAACAGAGAGGCTTTTTGTCATGGAAGATTAAAAAGATTAGAAGTTTAATACATACTCATAACTTTGTTGTGCAGAGAATGATAAGAACACTTCATGCATGAAATATATTGCTTGGAATGTAATTCTGTGGAGAAATGGAATGATACAAATTCAGAAAGATAAAGAAGACAACATTTCTTGTGTTTTTTTGAGACAGAGTCTCGCCCGGTTGCCCAGGTTGGAGGTATTGGCGCCAATCTCGGACTCATGCAACTTCCGGCTTCCCGGTGTCAAACGATTCTCTGCATCAGTCTCCTGAATAGCTGAGATTACAGGTGCCCGGCAAACCCATGCCCAGCTAATTTTTTTTTTTTTTTGTATTTTAGAACTCCTGACCTCATGCTGCCCTGCCTCAGCCTCCCAAAGCCCTGTGATTACAGGGCGTGAGCCACCCGCACCCGGCCAAAATGACAAAATTCTGATGTAGGCTGGGTGCGATGGGTCTCGCCTGTAATCCTAGTACTTGGGAGGATGAGGTGGGGGTGGACCACCTGAGGTCAGGAGTTCGAGACAAGCCTGGCCAACCTGGAGAAACCCCCATCAACATGGGGAACCCCATCCTACTAAAAATACAAAATTAGCCGGGCATGGGTGGTGAGTGCCTGTAATCCCCAGCTACTCCGGAGGCTTGAGGCAGGAGAATGGTTTGGAACCTGTGTGGTGGAGGTTGCAGTGAGACAAATGCGCCACTCCACTCCATTCCAGCCTGGGCAACAAAGTTGGAGACCTCCATCACAAAAAAAAAAAAAAAAAAAAAAAAAAATCTGGTGTAAATGAAGAATTTGCTAATATATTTTTACTACCAGAGCTGACCACTCTCCCCCTTCCCCGTTTCTTATAACCATTGCATGATTTTGCATAAAACTTTTAGGGAGTGTCCAAGAAAAAAAGTTTGAAAACTACGGGTTAACCCACTCTTTACAGGAACTTGGCTGTGAAATGGAAAAGAGGAGAGCTGGCTCCAGGGAGGCTTAGGTGAAAGGTGATTTTATTTTATGTTTTAATTTTTAATTTTTTTGAGACTATGTCTAGCTCCTTCCCCAGACTGGAGTGAAGTGGTGCGATCACAGCTAACCACAGTCTTGACCTCCTGAGCTCTCATGGCTCACTACAGCCTCCACCTCCCCAGCTCAAGCAATCCTCCCACCTCAGTCCCCTGAGTAGCTGAGACCACAGGTCTGCACCACCATGTCTGGGTAATTTTTGTATATATATATTTTTTGTAGAGACAGGGTTTTACCATGTTGCTCAGGCAGGTCTCGAACTCCTGAGCTCAGGCAATCCACCTGCCTCAGCCTCCCAAAGTGCTGGGATTACAGGCATGAGCCACCACGCCCCACCAGTGATTTTATTTTTTAAGTTGGAAGATCTGAGCATGTTTAATTGTTTAGTATCATGCCCGTTTTACAGAAAAAAAAAGAGAGCCTCTTAGAAGCTACAATGTTACTTCAATGCGGAGACTCTGGAACAAGATCCAGGTCAGGACAGGCTAGGTTATGCTGCAGCAGCACACGCCCATTAAATCTCAGTAACCTGAATACATCCTAGTTTTCTTCTCCCCTTACTATGTATCCTAGGGTGCGTCGGCAAGGAATCTGCTCATCTTAGCCAATCAGTGACCCGGGTCACTGGATGAAGGTTTCATCTCCATAGTTGGGGCAGCTGGCAGAAAGCGATACAATGGCTGGCTCAGTCGCCTTTAAAGCTGGTGGGAAGTAACATGTTATTACCTCTGTGTGTTTCAAGTGGGTCAGGGAAGTGCCAGTCCTACCATGTCCCCAGAAAGGGAAAGCACTGGAAACGTTGATGAGCAGTGCTGCCTACTCCATGACACTTCCGGTATTGAAAATAACCACAAACCCTTCTTCTATTTTTTTTTCTTTTTTTTTTTTTTTTTGTGAGACAGAGTCTCCCTATGTCGCCCAGGCTGGGGATGCAGTGGCGCAATCTTGGCTTACTGAAACCTCCGCCTCCCAGGTTCAAGTGATTATCTTGCCTCAGCCTCCCGAGTAGCTGGGATTACAGGCATGCGCCACGACGCCTGGCTTTCTTTCTTTCTGTTTTTTGGTTTTGTTTTGTTTTGGTTTGGTTTTTTTTTTTTGTATTTTTAGTAGAGATGGGGGTTCACCATGTTGGCCAGGCTGGTCTTGAACTCCTGACCTCAAGTGATCCAAAGGTCAGCTACAAACTTGTATTATCTGATACCTACTTTGAGCCCAGGCGAGAAAGGAAGGATAAAGTAAAGCATGAGACATTGTTAGTTCATTTCAACAGATGGGGAATTGTGGGTTTTAGTCTCTGACGCTTCATTGTTACCATGAGAGCCTGGAAATTTTTTTTTTTTTTTTTTTTTTTAATCTCTTTAGGTCATCCGGGAGGACGTGGTGCTCTTTTAGCTCTAACATTTTCTGGTTGCAATGCGCTTAGGACTGGGATGCGAAGTGAATGAGTTGGGAGAGAACGCAAGCCCCACAAGTGCCAGGCGTGCCATATCAGAAAAACACTTTCTAGTATTTTGTCCGCGTGTCTATTGGGGAATGCTCTTACATCCCGCAGAGGGCAGTAAGAACACAGCGCGCATTATAACGGCGAGTTTAAAAGTCCAGGGGTCGCTCACTCAACCTTGAATGCACGTCAGAATCACCTGAGGGAGGTTTTATAAAATATCCGTGCTCCACCCAAGACAATGAAATCAGACTCCCTGCGAGCGGGGCCCGAACATCAACATTTTTGAAGACGCTCCCTGTGGCTGTGCATCGGTGATCTTTAATCCCCTGCTACTTGTTAGAGGAGCTGAATGACGCCTCGTGGGCTCATTCTCATAAACGAGCTCCTGAATGCAGTCCTCTCCTCCCAAGAGTTGTCGGTGTTGCATCTTTTTGTTGTTTATTTATTTATTAGCCAACGTTAGAAGACGTCCAACAGTGCTGCATCTTAATGGGGGGACATCCAGCTAAAGGGAATCTTGGAGACATCCGCGGGTTCCCAGTGGCTCGCGGCAAGTTGGTTTCCCAGGGCAAGAGGCCGCCACTTAAGATCAGCTCTGCCTTTCGAGCTGGGCAGTGGAGGCTCCAAGTCCGCTTTCAGCAGGACTGGAGGAAGGAGACTGGGTGGCCCCAAGGAAGGAGGGGAAAAGGCTGCTGAGAAGAGGAGGAGGGAAAGGGGAAGAGGCAGGGCGAGGGAGGAGCCTGAGGAGACGCGGTCGCAGTCTGACTCGGCTCAACCCTGATATCTGCGCCCCGGCCGCCTGGTCGCCATGGCGGGCTTGGGCAAGGGCCCGGGCTCCGCTATCCCCGTATGGCTAGCCGAGGAAGACCTGGGCTGCATCATCTGCCAGGAGCTGCTGGACTGGCCCGCCACGCTGCCCTGCGGCCACAGCTTCTGCCGCCACTGCCTGGAGGGCTTGTGGAGCGCGCGCGGCGCCGGGCGCCGCTGGGCCTGCCCCACCTGCCGGGAGGGCGCCGCGCAGCAGCCTCGGCTGCGGAAGAACACACTACTGCAGGACCTGGCCGACAAGTACCGCCGCGCCGCACGCGAGCTGGAGGCGGGCTCCGACTCTGCCGCTTGCCCTGGCCCCGGCTCCAGTCCCGGCTCCAGCCTGACCCCCAGGCCCCGGCGCCGCCCGGCACTGCCGCGGGTAGGGAGGCCGGTTCCGCGGGTAGGGAGGCCGGTTCCGCAGCTCCCCTCGCGCCCCCCGGCTGCCCGCAGCCTGCCCTCTTCCCCTGTGGCTCGAATCCCTTTCCCCAGCCGTTCTACTTTACGTTCCTTTTCTCAGTCTAAAAGTCGACTCCCGCTTTTGGGAGGAACTTTGGAAAGTTCATAAAAGTATGAAGAAGCGGGGAAAAAAAGAAATTCCCCATCTCCCGAAAGCCTGTCAACCTAGCTGCTACACGCCTTGGCATATTTCAACTTCTTCCCAATCGATCTTCGGTCTCTTTCTCTGACAGTTGTAAAATTGTGGTAAGATGTATATAACATTAAAACTTGTAATTTTAACCTTCTTCTTTTTTTTTTTTTTGAGACACAATCTCGCTCTGTCTGGATGGAGTGTAGTGGCGTGATCGTCTCACTGCAACCTCCGCCTCCGAGGTTCAAGCGATTCTCCTGCCTCAGCTTCCCGAGTAGCTGGTACTACGAGCGTGAGCCATCACGCCTGGCTATTTTTTGTATTTTTAGTAGAGACGGGGTTTCACCGTGTTGGCCAGGCTGGTCTCGAACTCCTGACCTCAGGTGATCCACCCGCCTCGGCCTCCCAAAGTGCTGGGATTACAGGCGTGAGCCACCGCGTCCAGCCTCATTTTAACCATTTTAAAGTGTACAATTCAGTGACAGATACATTTCCTGTTGTGCAACTATCCCTGCTGTTTCCAGAACTCTTTAATCATCATAAACAGAAACTCTGTACTCATTAAGCAGTAACTCCTTATTTCCCCTCCCGCTAGCCCCTGCTCACATCTAAGCTACTTTCTGTTTCTGAGTTTGCCTGTTCTAGATATTTCATATAACTGGAATCGTTCAATGTTTGTCCCTTTGTGCCAGGTTTCTTTCACTTAGCATAGTGTTTTCAAGGTTCATTCATGTTGTAGCATGTGTTAGAACATTATTCCTTTTATGGGGCTGAATCATATTCCACTGGGTGTATGTGCCACATATATATACACATACATATATTTCCTTTTTTGAGCTGAAGTCTTGCTCTGTGGCCAGGCTGGAGTGCAGTGGGGCGATCTCTGCTCAATGCAGACTCCGCCTCCCAGGTTCAAGTGATTCTCCTGCCTCAGTGTCTGGAGTAGCTGGGACTACAGGTGCTCACCACCCCACTCAGGTAATTTTTGTATTTTCAGTAGAGATGAGTTTTCACCATGTTGGCCAGGATGGTCTCAATCTCTTGACCTTGTGATCTGCCCTCCTTGGCCTCCCAAAGTGCTGGAATTACAGGCGTGAGCCACTGCACCCAGCCTCATTGTGATTTTGATCTGGATTTCCTTAATGACTAATGATGTTGCCCATCTTTTCTTGTTCTTGTTGGTCATTTGTAGATCTTCATTGCAGAAATGTCCATTCAAGTCCTTTGACCATTGTAAAATTGGGTTTATCTTTTTGTTGTTGAGTTTTAGAGATTCCTTCTATATTCTGGATATCGAATTAGATATGACTCACAGATATATTATCAAATATATATTCTCCCATTCTAAGAGTTGTCACTTTCTCAGTGGTATCCTTTGATGCGCAAAAGTTTTAAATTTAATTTTTATTTGTTGTTTTTTGTTGTTGTTGTTGCTTGTTTCTCCTAAGAGTTTTTTTGTTTTGTTTTTTTTTTTTTTTTTTTTTTTTTTTTTTTTTTGAGTCAGTGTCTCGCTCAGTTCCCAGGGATGGAGTGCAGTGGCACGATCTCAGCTCACTGCAGCCTCCACCTCCAAGGTTCAAGCAATTCTCCTGCTTCAGCCTCCCAAGTACCTGGAATTACAGGCGCCTGCCACCACACCTGGCTACTTTTTGTATTTTTAGTAGAGATGAGGTTTCACCATTTTGGCCAGGCTGGTCTTGAACTCCTGACCTCAAGTGATCTGCCCGCCTTGGCCTCCCAAAGTGCTGGGATTACAGGCATGAGCCAGCGTGCCAGCCTCTTCTAAGAGTTTTATGGTTTTAGCTTACGTTTAGGTAATTGGTCAATTTTAAGTTAATTTTTGTATATGATGTGAATTAGGGGTCCAACTTCATTCTTTTGTATGTGGAAATCCAATTGTCTTGGTACCATTTGTTGAAGAGTCTATTCTCCAGTGATTAGACTTGGCATCCTTGTCAACAAATCATTTGGCCAGGCCAGGCGTGTGGTTCACACCTGTAATCCCAGCACTTTGGGAGGCCAAGGTGGGAGGATTGCTTGAGCCCAGAAGTTCCAGACCAGCCTGGGCAACATGGTGAAACCCCATCTCTAGAAAAATACAAAAAAGTATCTGGGCATGGTGGCATGTGCCTGTAGTCCCAGGTATCTGGGAGGCTGAGGTAGGAGAAATCACCCAAGCTGAGAGTTTGAGGCTGCAGTGAGCCATGATTGTACCGCTGCACTCTAGCCTGGGCGATGGAGTGAGACCCTGTCTCAAAATAAATGTATAGTTTTACTTCTGGACATTCCATTTTATTCCATTGGTCTATATGTCTGTACTTACGCTAGTACCACACTATTTTGATTACTACAACTTTTTAGTAAATTTAGAAAATTGGGAAGTGTGAGTTCTTTGACTTTTTTTTTTTTTCCAAGATTGTTTTTGTTATTCAGAACTCCTTGCAATTCCATCTGAATTTGAAGATTGGCTTTTCCATTTCTACAAAATAGGCTGTTGGAATTTTGATAGGGATTATGTTGAATCTGTAGATCACTTTGGGTAGTATTGACATCTGAACAATATTAAGTCTTCTTTCCCTAAAACACAGAATGTGTTTTTATTTATTTTTATTTGGGTCTATAATTCCTTCAGTGATTTTTTTGTAGTTTTAAGTGTGTAAGTCTTTCACTTCTTTCATTAAATTTATTCCTAGCTATGTTATTCCTTTATTATTATTATTATTATTATTATTATTATTCTATTTTTTGAGACAGACTCTTGTTCTGTCACCTAGGCTAGAGTACAGTGGCACGATCTCAGCTCACTGCAACCTCCATCTCCCGGGTTCAAGCGATTCTCCTACCTCAGCCTCCTGAGTAGCTGGGGTTACAGGCGCCCGCCACCACCCCTGGCTTATTTTTGTATTTTTTAGAGACAAGGTTTCACCATGTTGGCTAGGCTGGTCTCAAACTCCTGACCTCAGGTGATCCACCTGCCTCGGCCTCCCAAAGTGCTGGGATTACAGGTGTGAGCCACTGCACTAGGCCCATTATAATTTATTTTAAGAAATTTTTCAGACTGATTGTTGTGGCTCACACTTATAATCCTAGCACTTTGGGAGGCAGAAGCAGGAGGATTGCTTAAGCCCAGGAGTTCAAGACCAGCCTGGGCAGCATGGTCAGACCCAATAAAAAAAAAAAGAAAAGAGAAACTATGAGACACGCTGAAAAAAAAAAGAAAAAAGTAGCTAGGTGTGATGACACATGCCTGTGGTCCCAGCCACTTTCGAGGCTGAGGTGGGAGGAACACTTGAACCCAGGAGGCTGAGGCTGCTGTGAGCTGTTTTCATGTCACTGCACTCCAGCATGGGCAACAGAGCAACATCCTGTCTCCCCTTAAAAAAAGGATACTACTTATCCCTGGACCTGAGCCCAGGCACACATCTGGATTAGAAGATGCCAGGCTCAGAGGATCTTTCTAACGGCAAGGACCAGATGCATTCACACAGGAAACGAACCATGTTCACTGAGAAGCAACTGGAAGATCTGAACATCTTGTTCAATGAGAACCCATACCCAAACCCCAGCCCTCAGAAATAAATGGCCTCGAAAATAGACATACGCCCAATAGTACTCCAGGTATGGTTCAAGAACCACAGAGCAAACCTCAAGAAAGCCAAATAAAAGCATATTCAGCAAAAACAAGCAAAAACTCCACAACCGCCAATACTGGAGGGTGGAGTCACCACCAGTGTCGGCCTGAGAAATGCAGACACACTACCCAGATTGCCCAACACTGCTCATCTGATTGGCTTGGTGTACACGGGTCATCGGGTACCCTCATTCCAACTCATCCTGTACCCTCAAGGTCCCTGCAAATGACCTCGTGGGCCACAGAATAGTCCATTTTGGCTGCTGCCAAGATCCTAACATGTATGACTTCTACCCCATTTTGGAATCCCAGGTTTGGGCTCCAAGCTTCAATTCTGGCTCTTCTGCCTGTTCATACCTACAAAGTTGAGAGATGATAAATACAAAAAGTCACATGTAAAAAAAAATGAATACTAAAAAAATTTTTGTGTTTTTCAGACAGAGTCTCACTCTGTTGCCAGGCTGGAGTGCAGTGGCGCGATCTCGGCTCACGGCAACCCACGCCTCCTGGGTTCAAGTGATTCTCCTGGCTCAGCCTTCCGATTAGCTGGGACTACAGGTGCCCGCCACCATGCCCAGCTAATTTTTGTATTTTTAGTAGAGACGGGGTTTCACCGTGTTAGCCAGGATGGTCTCGATCTCTTGACCTTCTGATCCACTGGCCTCGGCCTCCCTAAGTGCTGGGATTACAGGCATGAGCCACTGCACCCATCTTAAAAGAAATTTTTTAATTTCCTTCTTAATTTTTTCATTGACCCACTGGTCATTCAGGAGCATATTGTTTAATTTCCTTGGGTTTGTATAGTTTTCAAAATTCCTCATTATTGATTTCTAGTTTTACTCCATTGTAGTCAGAGAAGATATCTGGTATTATTTCAAGTTTTTTTTTTTTTTTTGAGATGGAGTCTTGCTCTGTCGCCAGGCTGGAGTGCAGTAGCATCATCTCTAGTCTTTGCAACCTCCGCCTCCCGGGTTCAAGCGATTCTCCTGCCTCAGTCTCCCCAGCAACTGGGATTACAGGCGCACGCCACCACACCTGGCTAATTTTTGTATTTTTAGTAAAGACAGGGTTTCACCATGTTGGCCAGGATGGTCTTGATCTCCTGACCTCGTGATCCACCTGCCTCGGCCTCCCAAAGTGCTGGGATTACAGGCATGAG